CAGCACCACGCCCGACCGCCTTTGTCTCCCCAGTGGCGATGTTCACTACACGCCGCTACACCAGGTACTCATTTGAGGCCTAGTCGACCTAGAAGAGGCCCAGGATCGGTTCAGATAATTGTCACTGACGGTGTTGGCCGTGAGTGGGAATCGAACTCGGGTCGCCGGGTGGTTCGTAGCGCTGTTCCACGACACACACTCACACACAACAGTCACACACAACACTCACACAGCACTCACACACAGCACACACAGCACTCACACACACAGCACACACAACACTCACACACAGCACACACACACACAGCCAACACACACACAGCACACACACAGCACTCACCACTCAACACACACAGCACTCACACACAGCACACACTCAGCACTCACACACACAACACTCACATACACAACACTCACACACACAGCACTCACACAGTACACACACTACTCACTCACAGCACACACAGCACTGACACACACCATACAGGTGGTGGGGGTGTTTGACCATACTTCACCAGGCCGGTCAACGCCGGTTGCCATCGGGACCAAGAGAGCCGCCTCCTCCCATGGCGTTGTGAGAGGTGTCTTGTCTGAATGTTTTTAGAACCAAAGTAAAATGTCCAACTCACCGTTGAAAATCAAAAACTGAACTCCGAATTATCATGTACGGCAGTCATGTTTATTAACACAAAGCTAAACATTTCTCATTATCATGAAACAAATATACAACCTCTGAATTCAAAACATTTGCAGAGGGTAACTGAAGCACAGAAACGAGTTGCAAAGTCGATACAAAATGTCCATACTTCTCTAACAATGTAAACTTGTATACAACGTAAATAACGATGTGCACATCTGTAGATTGTATTTGGTTTTCAGTTCAATGTGCGCACCACTCCTCTGGCTGGATGTATGAAGGACGTATCATGCAAGCGCCCATTCAGATGGAATGGAAGTCTGATTTTTATCTGGTAATTAAGGCGAGTCCACGTATAAATTTATCTAGTTTACGATACAACTTCAGTACACGATACGTCCTTTCTTAGTCGATCTTTCACAAATGGCAACTAATTTCCTGTCAGGTATGAAAACATTTGAACGCAGTATTTATTTAATTTAAACACGAGTTCTGCCTCTAGGCAGAACATTCGGAAGTGAGATATAGATAGCCACGGACACACGGCAGTCACGCTGCCAGCGATGTTTATTGGTGGAGGTTCTGGGCGTGGTGGAGGTGGGGTTCTGTGGTTGGTGATTGTGGAGGTAGGGTTCTGGGCGTGCTTGATGTTGGAGCTATTAAAGAGAGGCGGCGTCGTCGCTGCTGTTGCTGCTATCGCTGGGTATTGGAGGCGACCCCACGTCTCCTGCTCCTCCTGCTCCCCCCAGCAGCAGCAGCACCACGGCTGAGAGGAGGAGGTGAGGTTGTCTCTCTCGCCCTGCTCACGGAGACTGCGTCCCTGGGTCCCCACCGCGATTCTCGGGGTTCCATTTGGTTCATCGACTCCTCGTGTCGAGGCGTCTCTCTGTGTGAGAGTCTCTGCCTGTGACGGTTACACTCGTGGTCTACGTGCCTGTGTGCGTATCACTCTGTGTGTCTGTGTGTCTATCACTCTGTGTGTCTATCACTGTGTCTGTGTGTCTATCTGTCTGTGTGTCTATCACTCTGTGTGTCTCTGTGTCTCTGTGTGTCTATCACTGTGTGTCTCTGTGTCTATCACTCTGTGTGTGTCTATCACTCTGTGTGTCTGTGTGTCTATCACTCTGTGTGTCTATCACTCTGTGTGTCTGTGTGTCTATCACTGTGTGTGTCTGTGTGTCTATCACACTGTGTCTATCACACTGTGTCTGTGTGTATGTGTGTCTATCACTCTGTGTGTCTATGTGTTTGTGTCAATCGTTGTGTCTATGTGGGCTTGTGTATGTGTGGCTATCACTCTGTGTCACTTTGTGTCGCGATGACGCTCCTAGAATTTAAACCAAACATTGCCAAAGCAATTGACAGCAAAGAGAGCGCGAGGCTTGACTGTTCGAGTGGAATGCGTCTTGCCACAAGAACCCTGCCGCTTGCTGGCGATGCGAACAGCGATAACGACATTAAACATCCGCGGAAGTCCGCACGCGTCTCTAGCGCCCAGCTGGACGAGAGGTCGCGATTCTCGCCACGGCAAAGTGGAGGGTCGCCTCCTACTCTCGGGAGCAGTGGGTTGAGCCGTGATGGAAATTCCACATTGCCCTGTCGGGGGCCAGACTCTCTCCTCTGTAGGGCCACCCCCAGTCGATTCAAACAAAGTGGTACTAAGTTTATCGGCCACGACTGGGATCTGTGCCACTTCGGGCTGATTGTGGGGATCTGTCCGAGCACAGGCGGGAGGCTGCGTCCGAGTGGAACTTCTTCAGGTTTCTCAATGCGCTGGAGAATTCACTCAGCCAGTTGGTGGTGGTGTGTGGGTGTGTGTGGGGGTGGTGGTGGTGATGAGGGTGGTGGTGACGAGGGTGAGTGTGGTGGAGATGAGAGTGAGGGTGGTGAGGGTGGTGAGGGTAGTGGTGAGGATTGTACCAACTCCTACACTACAGAGTATTCACACCGGTACAGCACTCACAACACAAACACGAGTAAGGCCACTGCCAACGCCATCACAAGTTGTATTTTGAAGCTGTGTAGTTCAGCGCAGCCCACACGAGGATGTCCCCCCCCCCGCGTGTTCGAGCGCGCAAGTGTCACGTGGCGACAGCAGCAGCAGCAGGCGACTCTGATTGGATACTTGGAGAGTGGAGGCACCCCCCGCCCCTCCCTTCCCTCCCCCGCCCCTCCCCTCCCGCGCGCCAAACCGGCCACCACTAGCCCAGTGACGTCACGCCCTTTAAAGTTGTCGGTATCAGTCGCGTCTTGTGTTGCTGCTATCGCTGGGTATTGGAGGCGACCACACGCCCCTACTGCTCCTGCTGCTCCTCCACCACCACCAGCAGCATCACAGCTGAGAGGAGGAGGTGAGGTTGTCTCTCTCGCCCTGCTCACGGAGACTGCGTCCCTGGGTCCCCACCGCGATTCTCGGGGTTCAATTTGGTTCCTCGACTCCTCGTGTCGAGGCGTCTCTCTGTGTGAGAGTCTCTGCCTGTGACTGTTACACTCGTGGTCTCCGTGTCTCTGTGTCTATCACTCTGTGTGTGTGTGTCTATCACTCTCTGTGTGTCTCTGTGTGTATCACTGTGTGTCTCTGTGTATCACTCTGTGTATGTATGACTGTGTCTATCACACTCTGTGTCTATGTGTGACTGTCTGTGTGTCTATCACTGTGTGTCTGTGTGACTGTGTGTCTATCACTGTGTGTCTATGTGTGACTGTGTGTCTATAACTGTGTGTCTGTGTGACTGTCTGTGTGTCTATCACTGTGTATCTATGTGTGTCTATCGCTGTGTATCTATGTGTGACTGTGTCTATGTGTGACTGTGTCTCACTGTGTATCTATGTGTGACTGTGTCTATGTGTGTCTGTGTGTCTGTGTGTGACTGTGTCTATGTGTGACTGTGAGTGGGATGCGACTTGCTATTAGAACCCTGCCGCTTGCGGGCGACGTGAACAGCGATATCGACATTAAACATCCGCGGAAGTCCGCGCGCGGTCTCTAGCGCCCCGCCTGACGCGAGGTCGCGATTCTCGCCACAGCAAAGTGGAGGGTCGCCTCCTGCTCTCGGGAGCGGTGGTTGAGCCCGTGGCGGAAATTCCACATTGCCCTGTCGGGGGCCAGACTCTCTCCTCTGTAGGGCCACCCCCAGTCGATTCGAACAAAGTGCTACGCAGTTTATCCGCCACGACTGGGATCTGTGCCACTTCGGGCTGGGAGGCTGCGTCCGAGTGGAACTTCCGCGGGTTTCTCAATGCGCTAGAGAAATCACTCAAATCCAGTTGGTGCTGGTGTGAGATGGTGGTGTCGGGGTTGCTAAGGCAGTAAGCGCCTTTGCCCCTGAACGCCACCAGTAAGCCGAGGCGTCACGAGGTCCCACATTCTGCTTCCTCCCTCCCACTGTAGAATTCACTCGCTCACATTGTGGTGAAATCACCCCCCGCCCATTCGGCATCGGATTACAGAGTTGAGGCGCTGCTCACACTGCCGTGGTCGCGTTCAGAGGCGGCGTCGACTGCCTTGGCAGTGAACGGCAAGCACACCACACACACCCACCACCACTCACACCACCACACACCAACACCACTCACACACACACCACTACCACACACACACCACCCCACACACACCACCACCCCACACACACCACCACCCCACACACACCACCACCCCACACACACCAACACCACTCGCACACACACCACCACCCCATACACCCCACCACCCCACACACACACACCACCACCCTACACACAACCACCCTACACACCACCACCCTACACACCACCACCCTACACACCACCACCCTACACACCACCACCCCACACACACACCACCCCACACACACAACACCCCACACACACACCACCCCACACACACACCACCACCACACCACACACACGCACCACCAACACACACGCACACCACCACGTCACCCATGGCACCTGCTGGGTCTGTCCCGTGACCTCCTGTCGGCAGCGCGCTGTCGACACTTCACGTGGCAGCCTCAAAGTGCACCTAGCCTGGCACAGGCGCCTTGGTGACGTCACCGTCACTTGCGAATGGCGGCTGCTGTTCCTGGAAGGTAGTTGAGGGTGGTGGTGATGAGAGTGAGGGTGGTGAGGACGGTGGTGAGAGTGAGGGTGGTGGTGAGGGTGGTGGTGAGGGTCAGGATGGTGAGGGTGATGAGGGTGGGGGTGGTGATGGTGAGGATGGTGATGGTGAGGGTGGTGAGAGGGTGGTGGTGGTGAGGGTGGTGGTGATGAGGGTAGTGATGATGGAGAGGGTGGTGGTGATGGGAGTGAGGGTGGTGAGGGTGGTGGTGATGAGAGTGAGGATGGTGAGGGTGGGGGTGGTGGTGGTGAGGGTGGTGGTGATGAGAGTGAGGATGGTGAGGGTGGGGGTGGTGGTGGTGAGGGTGGTGGTGATGAGAGTGAGGATGGTGGTGGTGATGAGAGTGAGGATGGTGAGGGTGGTGGTGATGAGAGTGAGTGTGGTGGTGGTGGTGGTGAGGGTGATGGTGGTGAGGATGGTGAGGAAGCCGAGGGGAGCTCACAGACGCGACTGCCTCACTCACGGTAAATGCCCCAAGATGGCGCCGTGAAGCCGGACGCGTCCATTCTCACTGTGTGTGTGGGGGGGGGGGGGGGTTATTGATTAAACGTTTCGCCTGATTGTACCAACTCCTCCACTACAGAGTATTCACACCGGTACAGCACTCACAACACAAACACGAGTAAGTCCACTGCCAACGCCATCACAAGTTGTATCTAGACGCTGTGTAGTTCAGCGCAGCCCACACGAGGATGTCCCCACCCCCCCGAGCGTGTTCGAGCGCCCGAGTGTCACGTGGCGAAAGCTGCAGCAGGCGACTGATTGGACACTTGATGCAGCTATCGTGCTGTGACTGTTCCACCTGAAGACGGAAGCTTGTGTTGCCTCCGAAACGTCGTGATTTTTATTTAACTTTTATTAATTTAATTTTTTTACCTACGTGACTTTACCGAAAAACCTAAAATAAAAATAAAATAAAAATCACCACGTTTCGGAGGCAGCTTGTGTTGCCTCCGAAACGTCGTGATTTTTATTTTACTTTTATTAATTTAAATATTTTACCTACGTGACTTTACCGAAAAAAACCTAAGAATATGAATCCTTGCAGTCCCGAAAGCTTCAAATCTAGAATCTGATTGGACACTTGGAGAGTGGAGGCACCCCCCGCCCCTCCCCTCCCCCGTGCCCCACCTGCCCCCGCTAGCCTAGTGACGTCACGCCCCTTTAAAGTTTTCGGTATAAGACGCGTTTTGGTTGCTGCTGCTGCTGCTATCGCTGGGTATTGGAGGCGACCACACGTCCCTACTGCTCCTCCTGCTCCTCCACCACCACCAGCAGCATCACAGCTGAGAGGAGGAGGTGAGGTTGTCTCTCTCGCCCTGCTCACAGAGACTGGCTTGTTTTGTTTACGTGACAAACCTTATTAATTGGCTGTGTCGGGTGAATGGCGGATTTAAAGACATATATTTACGTGAAAGCCTACAACGTGTTAAACTTGCTATATACCACTGCTCATAATGGCAACACTGCCTGCTCCATCGCCCCGGACTTCTCCGTTTCACAGTCTGCTACTTTGTCCATGAGTTTGTAGTTCCTCGCCTTCAAGGGTCGTAGCTCCCCTCCCTACACGGCGACAACCCCGACTGAACCAGATGCGTTGCCGCGTCTGTGAGATTCCACTTCTTGTTCAGTTCAGACTGAACAAGCAGCAGTGCTAGGGGTGTGATTCCCGTACAGGATCACTGTGCCTTGGCATTCCCAGAACATCGTTTTCTTTCACTTACGAGGCAGTGTCCATGCAGCGTGTTGAAATGAAGCGTACGTTTATGTTATTAAAGTTGGGATAACTAAATTCAAAAGATGAATCTCATCACTGACATTACAAATTAAAAGTTGTTGAAGCCGAGTGATGTGAAAGTGAGGTAGCGTGAACCATTAGAGTGAGGCTGACAGATGAATAATGACTCATTCTCATTTGTGATCATTAGCAGACAGAGCCAACCATGAAGCTGGTCCTCATCTCAGTGTTCATCTTCCTTCTGGGTGAGTTCGCCTGATGATGCTGGTTGTAATTACTGGCAAAACATCGTACTCGGATTATAAAATGTTGTTCCTTTTGCTCTCCAACACACCGGTGTGCTGTACTAGTGACGAATTGGCACGTTCTGTTTATGTGACAACCCTTACTAGTTGGCTGTGTCAGGTGGTGGTGGGTTTAACGACACAATTATACATTTACGTGATCTAACCCAAACAGCCTGTGTTATAAACTGTATCTGTAACGAGTGTGACCGGTCTCCCTGTAGATGCCGCATCGGCTACGAAGCTCCAGATCACTCTTCCGCAGAATCTGTCTGTGAGGGAGGGAGAAAACGTGACTCTTCCCTGCTCCTTCTCCCCACCGTCGCCTGACCTGAGCCACATCGTCCTCGAGTGGTTCACAATGCCCAGACGCTACGCAGATAACATGACCAGAAGAGAGATGAAGAAGGTGACGGCCGCATTTCATGTCAACCGTGAATAATTATATCCGTACTTGATGTCTACGTCAACACTAACATAATAACAAAGTTACATGGCGCCCTTTAATTACCCAGAAATGTCCCAATTAGTCTCACAACTCCATTTCAAGAAGTCACTGCTCTGAGATATTTGCCCAATGACGGTACGTTAATGAGAGTTGGGCTTCATGTCGAGAGAAATCAGAGTACCTGATGAAACTCGTGTTTAATTCGAGGGGGATTACACGCAATCCTCGACGCAAATTCAAGTCCACAGGTAGACCCACTCTCAACACGCTACGCAAACTCAAGATTGATGTTTTGCCATTCCCTTGTCGCCTTGCAGCCGAAGCCTACAACGCTTGGTGTTCACAGGAGGTCTCCCATCTAGGTGGTAACCGAGCTCAAGTCTGCTGAGCTAGCGACATCCAACGAGCCCAGGGGCATTCAGGACGACTTTACCGTGGGCATCGTGTGCCATTGTGGTTGACGTTCCATATTGTGGTTTGTGTCATTACAGATCTATCAATCGGGGTATGAAAAAGAGGACTTGAGTATCGTTAAGTCTGTGGGAGACGTGCGGACGGGAAACTGCTCCATCGGCATCCCCAACTTCCCCAGTAACCTCGGCCCCGTGGCTCTGTGCATCATCAAATGTCGTCGATGTAACGCGGAGAATACCGTGGTGCAAGAGGAGATGGTGCTGAACGTGATGCCTGCAGGTGAACAAGAGCTGAGCGTGGCGCTCACGTCGCGAGATGACGGCGTGAATTGCGCTGTAGCTGATACGGCTTCGCTTGCCGCAATATAACTCTTCACAATATGATAAAATATCAACTTTCACAACGTAATAATCTCAATCTCGGATGTTATTAACTTGTTCACGTTCATTATACAGGAATCCCTCACCAACCCCGGTTTCATGTATATGCGGTTTATTATACCAATTTACCAACCCTGCTACAAGTGAAGCCGTGTTGAGTGAGTGGTCTCTCCCTGCTGCACGTGAAGCCGTATTGAGTCGCTGGGTGGGGCTGTGGTGCTGGGTGCGAGGTGGGGGTAACGCTGAGCCCCCCCCCCTCTCTCTGTCTCCGTGTCTCTGCAGCCCCACGGTCACACGATAGGGGCGTGAGTGACGCCACCCTCACCCTTCTAGAGGAGACCTCGCACAAGGGAGCGGTGGTGGCTGCCTGGGTCCTGGGGACTCTGGCTGTCATTGTCATCATCATCATCATCGTCTCCGTCTTCGTCTGGATGAAACACCGTCGGTCTTCAGGGCTCTGCCCCCACTCACGCAGGTGCCCTCCCCCCTCCAGCCCAGGCACCCGGACCGCCCAGCCCAGCCCCTGGTGAATGAGCGTGGACGTGGGCAGATGGGCTGAGCTCTCTCGGTGGCCTCCCACTCGGTGTCACTGACGAGGTTTCACGTTCACGCACCAACGGGTCTCAGTCTCCTTCCTCAGGGGTTCATAGCGGCCGTGCCGGGGACACTGAGCTAGCACCGAGCTCCTGGGTTCAGCCCCTTGGTCTTGCCGACGCGAACGATATGAAAGAGTGAGCGCCATTGAGGCCCTCTGCTCGTTCCCGGCGAGATACGTCCAGGCGTTGCTGTGTGCAGGCACCGCGTGGTTGGTAAACCTGCTGTTTGTTTTTATTTCCACAGTGGCGGTGGGAATGAAGACTTGCGTGGGGACGGGAACGGGCAGCCGCTGATGAACGGGCACGAAGAGCGACCACAACAAGTATTGGAGATCGTGGACGCTTGATAATGTTCAGGCATCTCGATGCCCCATCTGATTGGTTGGCACGTGGAGCGGATCGCACACACAAACTGCCCATGTGCTCAGTGTTCCACGTTTTATTTGAAATCTTAGACCATCATGTCTTTGCCATCTCTTGCCTTGACAACCATATCTCTCGACCGGATATCTCTCGTGTGTCTCCAACTCCATCACCTCTCTATCCTGGATTTCTCAGAGTGTCCGTGAACGAAACCACATGACTCCAATCCTGAAATTGCTTCACCAGGTTCCCGAGTCTATCTGGGGTGCACTTGATAGTGGGCGCCACCGTGGCGAGATGTTAACTACCTCGCCTGCTATACAGGAGGTCGTAGGTTCGATCCCCACCCTGACACCTGCCCGTCTATTTGGAGTTGCGATTGCATAATCTACCGATGGGATAATTGCTCCATTATCTGCATAATTCTCTCCCATTGTCTCCTTTCCCACGTTCTTGTATTAACCCTGTGATCAATTATGGTGGGTACTGTATTAGTGGAGTTAAAATGTCACTTTTTTACTCTATTTTTAGTATTCACTTTAACCCGGTCAGAAGTCATTTTCCAAGTGTCGCCAAAAATGACTTGTGATGGTGAACGTGTGGTGGTGAACATGGGTGGGCGAGTGGCTGGATGAGTGGCTGGCTGAGTGAGTGACTGGCTGAGTGAGTGGCTGGGTGAGTGGACCCTATGCAAAGTGCCTACCGTGAGCTATGGGATAACACGGCCCTGCTCGAGAGGGCCGGTGAGTGGTGCGTTGCTGGTGCATCGCGAGTGAGTGCTGTGGGGGGTCTGCGTGTGACTGCACTAAGGGGGGGGGGTCTCTCAGCTGCGGCCTCTCTCGCGCCTTCAGGGGGACCTCGCACACGTCCTGGAACGTCTGACCTGAAGTACTTTGCTTGGCGATGCATTTGCAGGAGTGAAATATCGTTGAATATTTTATACACTGTTCTTACAAAACTCGGGGCCATGTTTTACATGTCGATTGTCGTGCCTTTTTGTATCGATTCGGCACCCCTCGTGTTCATTGAGTCGATGTGGCGCCCCCGACTGGACATCTGACAGCTGATCGTGCTGATCGCAGCTCGTCGGGTTCCTGTGGTCTGAAGTCTTCTGGTTGTGACATTGACGGTCGCCAAGACTTGTTTAGAGTCGTTCTTTGTGATGCAAGACTCGCATTGTACCTGAGTAGGATTCTGAAAATAAAAAAAATATTTAAAAACATTTTTTTTTAAAGCACGCTTTAATGATATGTACCGTATCAGTAATGGCAGAACTCCACAACTCCAGGAAGTGGCCCCAAAGCTTGCCATAACGTAAGTGAGCGTGGTGATTTACAGCCAACGTCAGTTTACCGTGGACAATCAGACCCACGCCGAAACATAACATGTAATAAGATGGTTTCAATTTTAATGATAGAATATAGTATTGTCATCAGCATGACATAAGTATACCAAGTTTGCAGTCGATACCACATTGGGAAGTGGGTTAAAATTGAGTTACAAGATTTGAGGGTACAACAACGACAACGTGAGTTAATAGAAAGCGTGTCGTAAAAACTTGTTGCCTCACTATGGGAACCTCATTTGCCAGTAAAAATATGATAATTGGTTCTTTACCCTTCTATCTGGCAACAAAACTGACACCTTTTTACAAGGAGTCATGTTTGCATAGACCGCAATACCTGCAGTCATAATACAAACAAAAGAACATAACTCTGATAATGTGCACTGTCCTTGAAGTTGATTGGTCCACACCCGAGACAGCTTTCCTTAGAGCCTAGTCTCATATGGGTTGGACCAGATGACGCCAAAAGGTGCGCCTTTTGGCGTCATCTGGTCCAACCCATATGAGACTAGGCTCTAAGGAAAGCTGTCTCGGGTGTGGACCAATCAACTTCAAGGACAGTGCACATTATCAGAGTTATGTTCTTTTGTTTGTATTATGACTGCAGGTATTGCGGTCTATGCAAACATGACTCCTTGTAAAAAGGTGTCAGTTTTGTTGCCAGATAGAAGGGTAAAGAACCAATTATCTTGTTGCCTCACTGTCCAAGGGCTCAAGCCGCCCTCATCCCACCTCGTCACTCCCCACTCGCCCTGCTTAGATCGCCACTTACCACTTACCCTCACCTGTCACTCCCCACTCCTCACTCGCCCTCAACCCCCACTCAGCCTCAAACGAGTAGCTGGTGTGATGTGTAAACATCGCCACTGGGGAGACAAAGGCGGCCGGGCGTGCTGCTGGCTACGGGACTGCGAAGCTCTGGATCTCGATGAGAGTTCACGGTGCCCGGTGAGGCCGCCGCTTTGTCGCCGGCGAGACGACAGCGCCCCCCGGTGGTGGGAGACGGCGAGACGACAGCGCCCCCCGGTGGTGGGAGACGGCGAGACGACAGCGCCCCCCGGTGGTGGGAGACGGCGAGACGACAGCGCCCCCCGGTGGTGGGAGACGGCGAGACGACAGCGCCCCCCGGTGGTGGGAGACGGCGAGACGACAGCGCCCCCCGGTGGTGGGAGACGGCGAGACGACAGCGCCCCCCGCTGGTGGGAGACGGCGAGACGACAGCGCCCCCCGGTGGTGGGAGACGTGGCCACAGCCCCGCAGAGACACGCCGCGAGACGCGCACAGCGCGCCTCTGTGCGAGACTCTGGGTCTATGCGGCTGTGATGCAGAGGTCGCGAACGGGTTTTGATTCCTTACCCGTACCCGGCTGCACCAGGGTCGCAAACGGGTAGCCGTACTCGGCCGTACCCTACCCGTACCCGGCCGGGTACGGGTATCGGGTACCTAATTGCGACCTATGGGATGAAGCCATGTTGCAGGCGCGGGTGGGTTGATTCTAGGAACTTGAATTGTGAGAAGAGACAAGACGTTGGGAAATGAGTGACAGTTACTCACCAGTGACTCACGGTCTACCCGTACCCGGCCGCACCAGGGTCGCAAACGGGTACCCGTACCCGGCCAGGTACAGGTAGCCGGGTATCAGGTACCCGGTTGCGACCTCTGCTCTGGGTCTATGCGGGTCGTTAGTGCGAGTTTGGCTCTCACAATGTGAATCTGTGGCTCTATCCAAGTCCGTGGCTCTCCGAGGGTCTATGGGTCTCTGTGCGAGTCCACGTAAGTCTATGGATCTCAGAGTTCATGGCTCTGAGGGTCTACGTGGGAGTCTATGGATCCCCCGCGTGATTCTATGTATTTCTGCGCGAGTCAATGGTTTCTACAGATCGCCGTGTGACTATGGGTCTGTGTGAGAGTTCCATGCCTCTCCGCGTGCGAGTCCACGCGTGCCGAGGTGGAGACCCCACGCGGAGCACGCGGCGGAGAGCCGCACCTCGACTCAAGACAGCCCAACACTCCACACAGACCCCCACCATCACCACCACCACCAACACCACTCTACACAGGCCCCCACCCCCAACATTTTTGCAGAGATGCCACTCGCATGAATGACGCTGCAGCGTAGACAAAATTTTTAAATGTTTTATTACATCACATGCATTGTCATGTACGAATATAATCTGTGGATGTGAATGGGAATCTGTGGGGTCGTCACATCTCGACAAGATCGTGAGGCTGGCTTTGGTGGGAGGGGAGGAATTGATACAGCAGTGGACCGATCATGGCCCACTGTTAATAACAGCGAGGATGACGTCACGAATGCGATTATGACGCTCCCACTGCCACGTTCGCCTCGCAGCAGCAGCACAGGGGCAGCTGCCACCAGGGGAGGGGGTCCCCCCCCCCCCCTCGGGCTAGAGACCACAGGTGGGGGCCATTGGGATGGTCGAGATGAGAGGCGACGACGATGACGTGGCGGCGTGGCCCCACCCCCCCACGCTGCATCTACCACGTGGTGAGATTGGCGATCACGTGTTGCCCATCAGACACGATGTAGTCCCTCAGCCCTGCACACAGCACCGCCACACAGACAGGGGGGGGGGGGGTTAGTTGCATGATCCGGCTCGAGCCAAGAGAAATAGAAGGGGGGCCGCGGTGGCTATGAGATGTTAACTACCTCGCCTGGTAGGCAGCAGGTCGTGAGTTCGATCCCGACCCTGACTTGCAGGATGGAGCAGTCTCATTTCGCGCGAGTGAGCGAGTTGGGTTGTGTGTGGGTGAGCGAGATGGCGAGCAACTGGTTGAATGAGTGAATGAGTGGGTGGTGGAGCGAGCGTGTGCAGGGCAGAGTGGGCGAGTGATTGGGTGGGTAGGAGTGTGAATGAGGGCGCGAGTGAGATTGGTGTTCAGTGGCCGGGTGACAACTCGAGAGACACCAGGACAGGAGAAAGAATCTCATTTTCCGATCGACCCTGGGTTGGTTCTCACCAAAACACGACTAAAGCAGCAACAACCCCCCACACTAAACAAAGTTCAGCATCAACACAACAGCAACACATTTGAAGGTAGTGGTTTGGGATGGGAGAGCCTCCCCCGTTCACACAGTTGGTAGCGCAGGCAGTCCTGGAGTCTTAGTTTAAACAATTTAACGCGTTTATTTTACCTGGTAGAGAGCCCACGGAGATATTGCCTCCTTTTAAGAAGCGACGTGGCTATCAAACTTGTAGCTCAACCAAGTGGCTTATCCTTGTGGAAGTGTAGCAACAGACAAATCATCTAAACAACGCACGCCGATTCGAAATTGGGGGAAAGAAAAACAGACGACCCGAATAAAAGTCGAGTCTGAACCACGGGGAGGGAGACTCAGGATCTCAAAATCCAGAGATGGAACTCACGAGACCTCCTGCACACCAGGCGAGGGAGACGACATCTCACGGCATCACGGCTCAAGCCGCTCGGCACTCCGTTGGAGTCGCACGCGGCTGGAATCAGCTGCCACTGGGGGGTGGCTGCCCCCTCTGCTACAGGCCTCACGGCAGCAATCGCGGTGCCACCCCGAACCGGTGACCCCCCCCTCCCCCCCATGCCCCGAGGTGGCCAACGGCTCCTCACCTTTGTCCAGCGGGGTGCTGGGAGCATCCAGCAGCTGCCAGTACTGGTGCAGGGCCGAGTCCTGCCACGAGTCCGTTCACCTCCACCAGGTACGGCCCAAAGCTCGACGGCTTGGTCTTGAAGCTGCGCCACACACATCACACACCACACACCAGACACCAACCTCACCACCCCCATTACTCCCTTCACCACATCCATCCTTACCTCACTCACCTCCTCTCACCCCCCCCCCTCCCACACCTCACCACCTCCCCCCCACACCTAACCCCCCCCCCACCTCACCCCCCCCCCCCCACACACACCACCCTCCCCCCCCACACCTCACCCTCCCCCCTCACACCCCACCACCCCCCCCACACCCCACCACCCCCACCACCACCCCACCACCCCCCCCCCCCCCACACCTCACCACCGCCCCCCACCACCTCCATCCCCACTCCTCCGCCATCCCCTCACCCCCCTCCCACCTCTCACCACCCCCCCCTCCCTCCCTCCCCTCACCACCCTCCCTCCCCTCACCCCCCCCCCCCACCTGAATTGGAGGGCGTTCTGTGCCTGGGCGGCCTCCAGCACGCGCAGGAGGTTGGAGCCGCTGGGCACGGTCACGTGGACGCTGTTGTTGAAGGTGTGGCCCAGGCCGTCGGTGGCCGTGTAGGTCACTCCGATGGGCCACGACGAGTTGCCGGCGGGCGGGCGCAGCGTCAGCTCGCTGCGCAGGTCGTGGACGCTGTCTGCAGAGCAAGCGGCAGGAGAACTACATCGCTCTCGTGACACCGCAGGTTGACCACCACCACCATTCACATGGTGCAGCAGGTTGACCACCACCTCCACCACCATTCACATGGTGCGGCAGGTTGACCACCATTCACATGGTGCGGCAGGTTGACCACCACCTCCACCACCATTCACATGGTGCGGCAGGGTGACCACCACCTCCACGACCATTCACATGGTGCGGCAGGGTGACCACCACCTCCACGACCATTCACATGGTGCGGCAGGGTGACCACCACCCACCACCATTCACATGGTGCGGCAGGGTGACCACCACCACCATTCACATGGTGCGGCAGGGTGACCACCACCACCATTCACATGGTGCGGCAGGGTGACCACCACCTCCACCACCATTCACATGGTGCGGCAGGGTGACCACCACCTCCACCACCATTCACATGGTGCGGCAGGGTGACCACCACCTCCACCACCATTCACATGGTGCGGCAGGTTGACCACCACCTCCACCACCATTCACATGGTGCGGCAGGTTG